AGTGTGTATGTGTGCGTGTTGTGTGTGTGAGTCTCAGGGACCCCCACGGCTTGTCTCTCTCTCTCCGTTGCAGCGCCGCGGCTGCTTCTTCCCCTTGAAGCGCGGCTATCGGGCGCCGCACCCCAAAACGGCTGCGAATGCGAGTCCTCCGGATTTGGCCTCCGCTGGTTGGGGATCGAAGTGCTGGAAGGAAGATCCGGCGCGGTGATGGTGACGGTGGGAGTTTTCCGCACGGTGCTACAACCAAGTTGGGGTTTGTTCTCCCCCGCGCCCCAAACGCCGGCCTCCGCCGCCAAAACGGGGGGAATTGACGGTGCTGCGCCGAAAAGCCGCGTTGCGCATCCCCCTCCCCGTTTTATGCCCCGGAAACGAATAAAAACCACTTTGGAAGTTCACGGTTTTATTCAGTTGCTCTTCGCTCGGGGCCGACGGCTGCTCCGTCTGGGACGGGGCGGAAAGGGGGGTGGGGGGTTTGGCCAAGGGTGCCCCCCACCCCACCCCCGTCCTTCACCTGGGGCCGGAGCAGCGGCGCCAAACCCCGCTTTTTTTGGGGTGGGGAGAGGGAGCGTTTTAAAATGGCTATAAAAGAGGGGTGCAGGTTGGGGTACTTGAGGAGGGGACCATCTGACCAGTTAATGCCCAAAAAATGACTCCAGTGCGCGAGACGGGGCGGAGGGGGGGAATTGGGGGGCTGGGGGGGGTAGGAGAAAGGGGGGGTCCTCGTTATATACATCCAAATCCCGCTTGGAAAAGGAGGCGGCGAAAGCAGGGGAAGCCCCCCCAATTGTAGTCACGGGAAAACCCCACCGCAGCGATCGGGGAGGGGTGGGGAAGGTCCCTGGCTGGGATGCTTTTGGGGGGGGTCGTTGGGGGCGCCCCACCCAGGCCCCCCCCTCAGCAGAAGTAGTCGGCCTCCTCGTCGTCCTTCGTGCCTTTGAGGCGCAGGCGGGCGAAGTCCTCGAAGACGATGTCGTCGTCGTGCCCGTAGCTGGTGGCGGAGGTGGAAGGGGGGAGGGAAGAAAGGAACGGGAGGGGGAGAGTCAGTGTTTGAAGGGGGTGCTGACCCCCCCCCTTCCACTGCAGTTGCTGACTGGGGGTGGGAAGGGTCTCCCCCCCCAAAAAAAAACTAGACAGCCCGGCCTCCGAGTACCAGGAGGACGGGCCCTGTCTGCCGGAGGGAGGGGCGTCTTCGGAGGCCCCCCCAATCTTCGGCAGGCGGGAGGAAGGAAGCGGGGAGGGGCAAAACCACACCCAAAAGTTGGGTTGGGACCCCCCCCTCCCGAAAAAAAGCCACCCTGGAGCCTGGAGGGCCGAGGCAGCTGCTCCGATCACGGAAGGAGGAGGGGGGGGCGTCGGAGGAAGAAGAGCGCGAAAGCTGGCAGGGGAGCGGGGGGGGCGTTGCTTCACACATACCCCCGACGGCTGAATTGGTGGTACAGCTCAGGCAGGGAGGGGCTCTGATCCCCCAGTGTGCCCCCCCCTCAAGAGACCCTCCCCCCCCCTACCGCCGCCACACCCAACTTACTTGGACTCAAACTCGATCAGGTTGGCATCGACCGGCGCGTCCGATTCCGGCATATCTGGGGAAGGGCGAGAGAAAGCGGGGGGAGGGAGGGATGAAGCGGTTGGAGAGAAGGGAGGGGAGGGGGCAGGGGAGGGGAAGGGGGAGGGCCTCACCTGCTGGGGCCTGCGTCGGGGAGGGCTGCTCGGGCGGTTTTGGGTGCATCAAGACGAAGGGCAGCTCTACCGCCACGTCGCTGGCCGGGGAGAGGAGAAGAAGTTGGCGGTCTTGGGTCGTCCCCGGGGGTCAAGACCGGGCGACCGTCCTCCCCCACCCCACCCCGAGGTCTTACCCCGCCCGCGAAACCACCAGCTTCACTTTGACCCGGTAGGAGACCAGGATGCCCAGGACTTCCTTGTTGATGCCCTCCGTCACGCTGCCGGAGAGAGAGAGAGACGTGGGTCCCGAGGTCTTGAGGACTCCGAGCCTCATGGGGCTCCGGGCTGCTGCCTCCTCCCCTCCCCTCTCCGGGGCCCAAGACGGCTCACATGGTGGAGGAAGCCAGGTTGGTGTCCTCGTGTTTCAGCTTCCCGTCCAGCGCCAGGCCTCGCTTTTCCCGGTTGTTGGTCAGCAGCGGGGTGAGGGTGTAAACCTTGCAGAAGGTGGAGCTCGGGGCCACCTGGTCTCTGGCAGGGGGACAGGTGAGGCGGGTCACACACAAACACACACACAGAGGCATCCCTAGAGCTTCCTGGACAGAGGTGGGAAAATATAGGTCTCTTCCCACCCACCCCCGAGGTCGAAGAGGAAGGAGAAGACGAAAGGGAATATTATGAATAATAATATCTTATGACCCCAGACTCGAAATTCTAGGCCTAGAAAAACTACAACTACTCCACCTAAGGATAGTAAGTAAAATGAAGCCCTCAAGGCCATGAGACCGAGAGGAGGGTCCTGCCTTACTCCCGCAGCACCCTGGAACCCACATTACGTATCGGATATTAACACCGTGGAGAAAGTCCAGAAATATTTTGCGAGAAGAGTTCTCCACTCCTCTACTCGGTGTAGAAGACCTTATGCCACCAGACTTGAAATTCTAGACCTAGAAAGCTTACAACTACGCCGCCTTCGGTCTGATCTAAGTATAGTATGTAAAATTATACATTGCAATGTCCTTCCTGTCAATGAAAACTTCAGCTTCAACCATAACAATGCAAAAGCACGCAATAGATACAAAGTCAAACTCAAACTCAAACCACACCAAATTTGATGGCAGGAAATACGACTTCAGCAATAACGGAGCGGTCAATGTCTGGAATCCTCTACCTGACTCTGGGGTTTCTTCCCCAAACCCCAAAAACTTTAACCTCAGACTGTCTACGATTGGCCTCACCCCTTTCCTAAGAGGTCTGTAGGGGGCGTGCATAAGCGCACCAATCGGGCCCATCGTCCCCGTCCTATTGTTTCTTTGACATTTTTCTGACATGTATCCATGTATTCATAAATATGTTTTTACTTATACCTGTTATCTTACAATCGCTTGACAAGAAAAAATGGATGGATGGATAGATGATAGATAATCAATAGATGATCAATTGATAGATGATCAAGAGATGATTGATCGATGATTGATAGATGCATAGATAGATGTATAGATAGATAGATGTATAGATAGATAGATGCATAGATAGATAGATGCATAGAGATGCATAGATAGATGTATAGCTAGATGGATGGATGGATAGATAGATAGATAGATGCATAGATAGATAGAGATGCATAGATAGATGTATAGATAGATGCATAGATAGATGCATAGATAGATAGATGTATAGATAGATAGATGCATAGATAGATGTATAGATAGATGCATAGATAGATGCATAGATAGATAGATGCATAGAGATGCATAGATAGATGTATAGATGGATGGATGGATGGATGGATGGATGGATGGATGGATGGATGGATGGATAGATAGATAGATAGATAGATAGATAGATGCATAGATAGATGTATAGATGTATAGATAGATAGATAGATAGATGCATAGATAGATAGATGATAGAGATGCATAGATAGATGTATGGATGTATGGATGGATGGATAGATAGATAGATAGATAGATAGATAGAGATGCATAGATAGATGTATAGATAGATGCATAGATAGATAGATGTATAGATAGATGCATAGATGGATAGATAGATAGATGATAGAGCGGTCAATGTCTGAAATCCTCTACCTGACTCCGGGGTTTCTTCCCCAAACCCCAAAAACTTTAACCTGAGACTGTCTACTATGGACCTCACCCCTTTCCTAAGAGGTCTGTAGGGGGCCTGCATAAGCGCACCAATCGGGCCTATCGTCCCCGTCCTATTGTTTCTTTGACATTTTTTCTGACATGTATCCATGTATTCATAAATATGTTTATACCGTCCCTGTCCTGCTGTTTATTTTTTATTTTTCTTATACGTATGCATGTATTTGTAACTATGTATATACTTGTATTATCTTGTAAGCGATTGACAAATAAATATGTAACAAAACATTTAATAAAAATAAATAACCTCAGACTGTCTACTATGGACCTCACCCCTTTCCTAGGAGGTCCGTAGGGCGCGTGCATAAGCGCACTAATCGGGCCTATCGTCCCTGTCCTATTTTTTCTTTTCTTTTTCTTATATGTATCCATGTATTCATAACTACGTTTATACTTATACCGTCCCTGTCCTATTGTTTCTTTATTTTTCTTATATATATTTCTTCAATATATTTCATGTATTCATAACTATGTTTTTACTTATACCGTCCCTGTCCTATTGTTTCTTTTATTTTTCTTATACGTATCCTCTATGTATCTTATATATATTTCTTCAATGTATTTCATGTATTCATAACTATGTTTTTACTTATACCCTCCCTGTCCTATTGTTTCTTTTATTTTTCTATGTTTCTATGTATTTTTCTGAAAACCATATTTTTACTTATACCCGTTATCTTAGAATCACTTGCCAAAACTGAAATAAATAAATAAACATCTGCGCGCTGTGGAGGGTGGGGTACTCACTCTTGCTCTATCTGGGCCACTGGGCACTTGTACTGGGCGGTGCTGAAGAGGCAGATGTCCGCGTACTGCCGCACTGCCAGAAAGGAAGGCAGGTCAGTCGGGGAGACCCTCCCCTGCCCCCCCCCGCCGCTTAACCCAGGGAAGGGCCGAGGAATCACCCCCCACGCTCCCCAACAAGGCGCTGTGGGGGGGAGGGCAGCACGTGGCCTGCAGGATCCTCGGCTTCCTTGAGGCGACCCCCCCACCCCTCCCCCCGCTGAGCAACCCTTCCTCCCCCTCCCGCCCCCCAAAGTCAGGGCTCCACCCAGCAGGGCCGCCGTTCCCCTTACCGGCCACTTTCACTTTCTTGACGCTTTTACTGGAGTTGTTGGTCACGTGAACGTTGACGCTGATCGGCTCGCCATGATAATAGAGCTGAGTTGGGAAGGAAAACAAGATGGCGGTGTCGGACACCCCTCCCCGGCCCGGACAAGCAGCCCTCGGGCGGAGTTTGCTGGGGTGGGGAGGACAAGGGACCGCGGCAGCTCACGGCGGGCAATTCCTCACGGCGGGCTGTCCGGTTCCCCGTCCAAACCTTTATTCCCCGCCCCCTGGATTGATTTCTCGTCCATGGCATTCGTTTTCGGAGAGGCTCGTTCCGAGCAGCGCAGAGGCCGCCGATGCCAAGCGCGGAAACTCGATCGCACCCCTTGGGAAATTGGCCACGAGCGGCCGAAAGCCCGCGTCGGTTTCTTGCGGCGCTTCCTTTTCCGACTTCCCCGCCTCCCGGGTTCTGCCAAGGCCCATCTCACCTCCTTGTCGAGCGAAGCCTCCAGGTGCAAGGAGCGGTCGGACATCAGGAAATGGCGGCTGTTCTCCGCCATGGGCTGCGGGCCGGGCTTCTCGGGGGCGTACTGGACCTTCCGGATCACCAGGCGGACCGAGTTCCTGGGGGGGGGGGGGGGGAGGCCGGCGCGGCGGGGGGGGGGGGGGGGGGGGGGGGAGGGGGGGGGGGGGGCTGGCTGCTCACCCACCTTTTGTGAATCTTCTCCTCTAGATTTTTGGCGCAAAAGGCCCGAATCTCAAAATCCACGCCGCAAGCCTGCCAGGGAAAGCGCCGGTCTCAGGGATGGGCCAGTCTGATCACTTTGGAGGGGGGGGGAAAGGGGGCTTCCTTCCTCCCACCTGAACCCCCCCCGCCCTCCCTCCGTTGCCACCCTCCCCCCCGCCCCGAAACCCACCTTTCCCGTGTCCTCGGGGCCCGGCTGCAGCGTCACCGAACACGGCAGGTTCTGGGGGATCTGTGGAGGAGAGGCGGGGAGTTGGAGGGTCTTCGCTCCGCCTGGGACAAAAGAGCAGCTCCCCCCCCTCAGGAGGTGGGGCGGAAGGGCCTGCGGGGAGGGGGGTCGGCCAGCTTACCATGAAACTAAAGGGGTGGGCGTTGGCCCCGAGTTTGCGCAGGAGCCGCTCCTGCAGGCGGGTGAGGGGCTCCGGGGTGCCCTCCAGAGGGGGGAAGGCCTGCCAGGAGGCCAGGAAGAGGTCCTTGCGGAAGGAGAGGCCCAGGACGTCCAGATCCTCGCGGCCATAGCGGAAGGCACAGGTCAGCGTCACGAAAACTGGCCCGGAAAGGAGGCTGCGTTAAGAGGGCGGGAGAGCAAAGGCCCTGCTCCCCGGAGGCCAGCGGGCTCGTGGCCCGTCTGAAGTCCAGAGTGAGGAAGACTACAGGGGCCCGTTGAGCTCGGAGACTCAAAGGGCAGCCGGGGACAGTTCCGTGTCCCGGACGGCGGCGCCAGGTCCCCTTTCTTCTCCCCCCTCCCCATTTTAATTCTGCCTCCTTGTCCAGCGTCCGTTCCCTGAGGCCGGCCGTGGGCCGAGCTGCTTCCCACAAGGGCCAAAGGCAGCCATCTTGGACAGACGGACGGAAGGAAAGCTGTGGAGGCCAGGCTGGCAGCCTCCCCTTCCTTGCCTCTTCCAGGCAAAGCGCAGCCAACCAAAGCGCCGGACTCACCTTTCCGGTCCTTGAGATATTCTGGGTCAACCAGAACGACGCCGTCTGAGAAAGGAGGAAAGGGAAGGAAGGGGTGTCAAGAGAATAGAAGCGCAGAGCAGATTCTTCGCTCCACCACCTCTTCTCATGGGCCTCACCCCCAGGTGACCCGCCGGGCCCGGCCTTTCACAGCCACGGAGCCCCGTGCCAATGAATCCCCCTCCCCAGAAATGGCAGCCCCTTCCCCCCCCTTAGTTTCAGCGTAACCATTTCTGGGCCGAACCCTTAGACCAAATTCTGCGTCTCCACCCCCTCCGCACACGCCCTTCCGGGACCTCCCAGGCCGATGCATCAACAACAATACCTGAACGCAGCACCCTCCTCGGGGGAACACAACCGAGATGGCGGCCCCTCTCTCTGTCCCCAGCTGCCCTCCTGTTTTTTTTGGCAAAGGAAACCCCCCCCCCCCCGGGGGGCCTTCCTTCCGTGCCTCGCTCTCGCTTACCAACGGGGTCAACTCTGTCCAGGTGATCCACAAAGTCCCTCTTCCCCAGGTAAACAGTGAGCTGGAGGAGACAAAAGGGGAGAGGATGGTGACCGTCTCCTGAGGGACCCCTCCCCTCCCACGGCCCAGGGGGGCGGCGCTGCTCGGCCCATCGGGGCTGCACGCGGGGATTTGCAGCTACCTCTCCTCTGGCTCCTAAGCTCCACCTGTGTCCAACACCTGCGCCTGCCCAGATGCTTCCGATACACCTGACCCAGCGCCGGGGACTCCATCCCGTTCCCCTCCCCTCCAGCCACCAGGGCCACTCCCCTCCCCATCCCGCTGAGGTTTGCCCGCACCTGCGGCTTCGCCTCTCCGGGGACGGCAGCGGCAGGAGCCACCCACTCACTTGGCCCAGGAGCCTCGCGGGGGGAGATTCTGCGTGTCAACAAGCCTCCAGCAGCCCCGCAGCTGCCACCCAGCTGCCACCCTTCTCTGCTCTGCCCAAGGGCCCCCTCCTCAGGGGCCTGCCCCCACCCCTTGCAGCACAGCCCTGGGGTAAAAGATCCCCCCCACCCCGTAGAGGGCCCCCACCCCCACCCTGCTTGCTCCGCTTTCTTCCTGTCCCTTGCAGGGGGCCCCCAGCCAGCAGCTCTCAGGCAGGCAGGGAGGAAGGAAGCTGGCCAGGCGGGGAGGAAGAGGACAGGAAACCACCACCACGGAGGAGGAGGGGGAGGAGGAGGGGGAGATGGAGGGGGAGGCTCAACTAGGGGCCCTCAGGAGCTCCTTCAGGAGTCGGGGAGCCAGGGACCGGGGTTGGGGGGG